ATTTTTTGTGCTGCATGTACTTCACAGCCATTGATAATTCAGTAGAATGGCTGCAAGCGAATCTGTGTAGTTGTATATGTATATACGTAGTATAATCATGTATCTACTGTGAAATATGTACTAGAACTCGAACGTTTTGAAATCTCACGCGTTCATTTAATTGTCACGGGAAACCGTATTCAAGGCAGATGCATGCAATATACTGACAACAATGACTAGTAAAAACTAACACTTAGATTGGATGTATTACTGTAACATTGACAGACATCAGAGTCGAATTGAAAAGTAATCGTATTCTTAAATGTTTTAAATAATCATTACATCTGCATTATTTTGTTTTAAGTCGTTGGCATTTTGAGAAAGTTGTGACGTTTTTTCCCCAATAACCGGCATAACAATTATCAAAGATGATCGTTATGATGAACCTACTTGAAAATGCGATTAAGTGTGAATCAACCGATTATGACTGAACTGCCCCCAATATTTCTGAGCAAGAACTAGTCCATGAGAAACAACAATAAAGCAACGTAAAACGTATAATGTTCGCAAAATAATCGCGGAAAAAAAACAGTTTCTCTCTAATCTGTACCTTAGCTTGTTAATATTATTACACATCTCACTCGAAATTAAAGTGACAGAGATATACATCCCATAACTTGAACACAGTATAGTACAGACTAAAAAGATGGCTCTAGCCTGGACGTTTATCGAATATAAGAGATTGCCCATTAGTTATTCTGGGTGGAATCACAAAAAATTGTAAAAAGGGTAAATTGAAGAAAAATATATATTTGTAAAAAAAAATCGATAGAAATAAAAAATTACGCAACATCGTGTAAACAATAATCTGTCTCGAAGGTAAGTGACGGGAAAAAAAGTAAGTGCACAGTCGTTCAGTCTTTCTTTTCCCTTCTCAGAATGTGTAATGATCAGACCCTAAATTACAACACACACACAACCATCGGTCCCAATATTCATCGTATTGAATTCACAAGTTGTGACATTCTATTAGCAAACATAATTGACATTCACGCTTCAATGAAAGCCCCAAAATAATAACGTAGTATCAGTAAAATATAACTGAATTCCTATAATAATGTAAGAACTGTTTCACACAGAAGATAATACATACTTGTATGAAAGCACAGGCCTGAATTCTGATAATTATATGCACAATGATTTGAAAAGAATTGTACTTGACAGTATAGTTTGGACATTTACACTCAAACACAGATGTGTTTATATTCTGTCGAGCAGTAGGAATATATGACACCGCCAAAATAAAACCAAAGAAGACATCATTTTAATGATCACACATTATTGAGGAACACTGTATATATAATTCCTGATGAGTTGACAATTAAAATATGACATGATAAAATGATAATTGCAGCATTGCATTTGACATTGGAGTTGTGACACTGGATGCTCTACGAAGTTTTAAAGCGGGGGAGTCGTCGCCTGCGCATGCGTCAGATGGCCATAGCGTGTCATTGTTTACAAACAAGCGTCTACCCATGAGCCTTTGCGTTTTTAGAGTGTGTTGTTATCGTCGCTTGGGACTCAATTTCCGCGCGTGTGCAGGAGACGACCCACCCGCTTTAATTTCACGATAGTTTGCCTATTGCATTGCTATACTGTGACCGGTCAGTCACCTTGAAGTCAAATTATGTCCCATGATGCATTACAATTTGAAAATGGCTTCGATCGCAGACTTTCCCCGAGACTTCGTCTATAAACCACACAGTTATCGCATTCAAGTCGTGCAAATTGTGTTCCTGCTGCTTATTATTATTATTTCTGAATCAATAGAACGGACACACGCATCAGGCAAGTAGACTTGTATACACAGTTACGCGTGAAATGGAGCTTGTTAGTTTTGATTATACTTTATTTCAGAAATGTACATGCTGTATACATAACCGAAGTTTGAACTAAGTGTTATTTAAAACAAACAGCGTATTTCATAGTCAGTGAATAATCGCATGGGACCCATATTATTGCGCACGGCCCGTCGCGGCAACTACAGACGTTCAAGTACATAACTGCCTGCACTTCATTAAAATTGACCTTTAAGAAGTATATGCTGTTTATAAGGGAATGAACTTTGTAGCTAATTTCTTTGAACATCCGAGCTTAAATTAGGTTTAGAAATGTGAAAAGGAAAGCAATTTGGTACGCATGTTTGTGTTAATATTTAACGGTTATATTCTAGCTGATTATGCTAAGTACCTAAGAAGGGGTACTATTGAGGGGTTTTGCCGACGAGCAAAACTGTGACTATCTTTAAAGGGCGGTGGTCGTCGAGTCGCGTCCTGTTCGATATGGGACTCATAGCGACGTATGCAACGCGTGTAAAATACATTGTTTGTTTACATGAACTTCGAGCACGCGCTGCGCGACGGCCATCGCTCTTAAAAGAGTCAATATGGGTGAAAACATATATATCTTTAATAATGTTGTTTGATGCGGCATAACAATGACCAAATAGAATTTTGATTCATGTTGATTTAGTAGCTCACGGTATCTGTTCGATGAAAAACACACACTAACATATGTGTGTTACATGTGCGATGATTATTATTGTATTCATCAAAGCAATAAGCACACACACACACGTGTTAGATAATACCAAGCGTATCCTGAAAGATCTTATATCCGCTACCAAATACCCCAGCGTACCGTTTATAACGAGATGCTGAATTGTCCGAGTTTCGGACATCGAGTTACGAAAACATCGTGTTACAAAAATATATATAGAAACCACACCACTTTCGCGAACCACGCCCAAATTGTAACTCCATGTTCACTTAACTCTCAGAAAACGAATAATTATTAGTTGTCTGAGAATAACAGTTACAGAACTTCGAGTTACGGGCAACATATATTTCTGCTTTTGTTGAACGTCCACATTTAGTAACTCGAACTTAACAGTTAACTGATAATTAAAATTCAAGTTAATACATTCGAATGTTAACGAAAACAAAAAATGCATGTTTCCCGGTGTGCGTAAATCGAACAATTCAGCATCTCGGCATTTTGGCCTTGTATCTGATAACACTCTGGTTACGTAATTGTAATGTACACAACAATCCCGCCATTCTCAGGGCCGTCAAAAATGATCATGACAACTAAACTGGTCAATGAAAATTGTTCATATAGAATTGCGTTGTGTCCAGTCACTCCAATCATCAATAAACGATAATACATCTATAGCTATAAGATCAATCGAATACAAGCAGTGGCAGTTGTCCTTTGAGGAATACCCGATTTTTGCGAAATACGATTGTCATTAATGCCGTCATCGATGTCGTCTTCATCGTTTGGATGATCAACAGCACCAAGTTAAGGTAGAGATACAGGTTCGTAGCACTTTGGAGTGAAATTATTA